TTAAAAAGGGGGAATTATGGCATCAAGTCTCTGAGGAGTGTGATCATCATGTACTACAAATTAGGGTGTCCAAAAGATGGAGGGGGAGGGGAGGGAAGAGGATAAAAAAGAATTAAGAAATGTGTACACATGCCAACTCCCCACAATAAATGTAATCATAATGTTCTGCAAGTGTATCCCCCAAAATAATGTTAGCCAGCCACTAAGGAGCCTCTGCTGACTCCCTCAATGCAGCATTAAACCACTGATAGGGACAGAGGTCCCTAATTAGTCTCCTCTGGCCCTTCCTTTTAAGGGTTCCATCTCTTCAGTTCCAGTATGCTGGGGATAAAACTTGCAGCATGTGAACCTTTTGGGGGAAATCCATGCTCAAACCACAGTTGGTTCATTTTTTTCCATCTATTTCTTGAGCATAAGGAAATAAAAGATACCTGCTTTTATCAAGGGTAAGGAACTAGTGCAAGAGCATATTGTTATGTAAAGTACAGCTTAAAAAGTAGTTTTATTTTCTTGATTTCACAAGGTCAGGGCTCTTCAGCATTGTCTGATATTACCATAAGAAGTTTGTTTCATCTTAATGCCTACAGTACTAAGGCTGTTTCTAATAATAAGGGTATTTGTGGAATAAGTAATGGGTGTGAGAGCAATAGGAAAGTGTATTGACCGTTTCCCCACAAAGATCAGCAATTTTAATATTTGGCATAGATCATTTCTAGGACCAGTAAGGTAATTTCCCCATCTCATTTCCAGGGTACCATAAAACACATTTTTTTTCCATGTTTAGTTTTATTTGACATTTGTTAGCTGGCATGAATCATTATGTTGTAAAATCTTTGAAGTAAGGTTCTATATCTGTTATGACTTAATAACTCTCAACAATGTCTGGTAAATAGCGCATTTATATATATCTCTGAAATCTAACAGTCATCTCAAAGTTGGGCAATAGATAAGAAACATTTGCATAATGAGAACACTGGTGAATCTTGTTACTGGTAGACATTTCAAGGGAATTCCTCACAATTGCCCAACAGTGTCTTATCAGTCTTTTACAACTGAATGACTACCCAACAATGCATGCAGTTGCCCTCTTCACCACTTTACTATAAAACATGTGGGCCATTGAATATGGTATGATTACTAGAATTGGTATTCAGCCTGTATGTTCTAGGATGTTCATACCAAACAAATTCTGTACTATTGGTCAGTGCCAATGCTGTCTAGACTGTTAGGTATTTGAAGCATAAGACTTGACACTGGTGAATAAAAATATTTTTATTTTCTAATTATGTTCAAATTAAGCAAGGCACCATATATGACAGATGGAGAAAATTTTTTTTATTTTTGTATTTATATGTTTTCAGTACGTAATGATTATATACACTATAGGGAAAGAGTTGGTGCATGTACTTAATACTTTTAATTCTTTTTTTCTCTTTTCCTTTGACCCCATTTTTGCAGCATCAGATTCATTTATTTATCTTATAAGACCTTATAAAGTTAATAATTATATACAGATTAAAAACTAAAGTAATCAAACAAAGAATATATAAATCACGTAAGACCTAAAAGTATACCTTTAGATGGGGATTTTTTTTTTTCAGAACCAGGGATTGAACTCAGGCCCTTGTGCTTGCCAGGGAAGCACTTATTCTGCTGAGCCATCTCCCCAAGATGGGGAAATTTTATGGAATTTAATAGCACCACTTTTTCTCCTTTACTAGTGTGACAGATAGGAAGATCTAGTTGACTCTATTTTTCTCCCTGATTCCAATTTCTTTTTAAATTGGATGTGTTTCAGGAAAACATGTAGGTCCTTTAATCAAAAGTTACATCTTGGGGCCCAGGGAGATAGCTTGATAGCTCAGTACAATAAGCGCTTGCCTGGCAAGTGCAAGGGCCTGAGTTCAATCCCTGGTTCTGCAAAAAAAAAAAAAAAAAAAAAAAAAAAGTTATGAATTGCTCTCCATTTAGTCTATTGCTTTGACAGATATTGCAGTCAGCAGCTCTTATACATACCATTTTTTTTTTTTACTAGTATGCTCTGACTCTTAGTATGCTTCTGATGGAGCTAACCATTTAAAAAATTGAGTTTGCAGCATATCCCAGTGCGAAATAGAGGATAGAAAAGTCATAAGTATGTTTTAGTTTCAGTTTATGATAAATAATAGATTACCCAAATGTTTAATGGTACAATACAACAGAATTTTATTGCTTGTATATTAAGAGTTTGAGGTTGGTGTTCTTACTGGCAGACAGATTTTCTTTGCAAGTGAATTACACATTTAGGCTCTTTCCATCTAGTAGCTTTGTTATTCTCTCTCCATCCAGCCCCCCGGGCATCATATATCCAGCTGATAAAAATGATATGGGACATATTAGGTGCTTGCCCTTTTAAAAAGCCTTGGAATGGAGATCTCTCTCTCTCTCTCTCTCTCTCTCTCTCTCTCTCTCTCTCTCTCTCTCTCTTTCTGTGTGTGTTCTGCTGGTCATCAAACTCAAGGCCTTGTGCAT